ACAGGTTTCCAGGACCCAAGTTTCTTTCTTTGTTTATTCCAAATGGTTTCTGATCAGCGTTTTTCAATTTAACTTTTCCTTACATTGGATTTTTGTACATTTTAGTAGTGCATGTCACTTCAATTCCTTTTCACATGTACTTACGTAAATACGTAAGTAAATAAATAAACTGAGCCTTTAGTGAAGTAGTTTGTGGCTTCCCCTTAGCAGGTTGGTCACACAGTAGCCTGTTCATTCAACCAGTATTTATTAAGTGCTTACCATGTACAGACATGACAGGCCTATACCCCCCATCCTTGTGCGTGTCTTCATGTCCTTGACCATTGCTGTGATTTCATGTCACAGGCCCCATTGTCAACCTCATGAGCAATGCCATGGGGTGATATATTGCTGCTCTTATTTGGACTGTCTTCCAGAGACTATTCCTGATTGTTCCTCACTCCCATCCCCTGAAGTCTGCCTTCTACTAATGGGTGCCTTTAAATCCAAATCCGCTCTTAGATAACATCTTATAATTTCTGAATTCTCCGATAACTTTTATAGTTTCATATTTTAGGTTAACTGCAACCTTATGGCTTTTAGAAGTTACTCCAAAACCAAAATGGCCTCATCCTGAGAGCCAAGGGTTTTCTTTGTTTTGAAATAAAAAAGTGAAATACGTGGGTCTGGGCAGGGGTAATGTTCTCAGTGAACACAAACATTGTAGTTTCTGGAAAGATGTGTTCTTTACTGACAATAGTGAACTAGCATTTCAGTTATAAGTCAGTCTCTTCAGAGTTTGATTGGTAAAAATAAATGGATTGGACTGGGAAGAGTCTACTCAGCTTTTCTCTTTTTCTATTGTTTAGGAATACTGTTTGTCTAATATGGGTACAATTCTCCATAAGTGCTTGGATTATTTTCCTCTTTTTCTCCCTAAACTGATTTTTCCTCCTTCCTGCCGCCTTGTTCTTCCCAAGCACGTATATTTATTCTTTCATTCATTCAACATTTTCGTAAGTACCTACTATATGCCGGCGCTCCACGATGTGAAAGGTAAAGGGATGAAAACGGCACAGTCTCTGGACTCTAGAAGCACACATCTGTGTGGAGGCCAATGTGTAGAAAATGATTACAGCCTTGTGATAAACGACAGAGCAGAGGCACCGTGGAAGCCTAGTGATGTCCCTTCACCTGACGCACAAGCTGCGAGGCTCTCTGGGGATAATGACCCTGCTTTCTAATGCAGCACAAGCTCATCAATCTATCATGTTGGGTGAGATGCCGGGCTCTTTCACAGCTGAAAGAACCAACAAAACATCCCAGGCCACCGCATGAGCAGGCACAGTTTTGGAAGTCACACTAATTTCCCCACAAATCCACATATATGCAATGTGACCTGGGATGGTAAAACGAGTACTCCGAAGTAGAATTTTAAGGAAAAAAATTCATATTTCTCACGTAAGGCACAGAGATTACACAAAAGTATTAAAGAGCTTTCTTAGGAGTCCTGAATGCCCGGTGTGGCACTCCAAAAGTCTCTGTCAGCCAGTGAAATGATGTCAATAAAGGATGGTAATTGGTCCCTAAAGGATTGCCTTGGGGAGTGTGAAGAACAAATACTCAACAGTGGCAACAAGCGAGCAAGGGAGGGTATAATTATTTATCTAGATCAAAAGATGTGGATACTTTGGACATGTAGGATGTAGTCAGATAATTAAGTAGTGTTACGTATGCATTTCTGCACTCCCGAAGAGACTTCCAGGAAAGCTATTTACCTTCCCCGTTTGATACTTCTTGCTCTTATATCAATGACTAGCAGCCAGTGTGAACAGAGCCAAAACCTTTCTACCAGCAGCTAATGCAGTCTAGTCCGGCAATAGTGGGCATGACTGCGAGTGGGCTCTTGTCCACAGACAGAAGGAACCTGGTGTGTCAGCAAAGAATCTTTGGGCCTGTGGTCATAAACAGAACTTATTAATGTATTGACTTTACTTAGTCCTCTCGTCAACAAAACAAAAACCACTGCTTTCTTTTTTAGATAGTTATTGCTTAGCATTCCCCCTATCCAAGTTCGCCATCTACAGGTCATATCATTTACAAATTGCTTTTAAGGTCTTCAGAAGATTGCATATGAGAATTCACGTGTGCCTCCTATTCAGGGAGGTGATACTACTAATTCTTGATTGATGCCACAACTGATGGCTATTACTGTATAACTACTCTCCTGTTAGATATTGACTGCACTCTTCTTTTACGTTATCACTCAGGGATTTAGGGTAAAAAGGTAATAGTGAAAAAAGTGTTTGTTTTAGTGCCATATTTCTTAACTTGTTAGAAAAATTCACTCTTTTTTGGTTAACATAAAAGTATCAGTTTATTACAGATCACAGAGCTTGTTAGTAAGTTGCAGAGTTGGTGTTGGAATGCAGATCTGTCTCACTTCAAACCTGCACTGTGAACAAATTCATCATACTGTCTCTGAATATTTTGTTTTTCTATATTTCAAACGTAGAATGACTGCCTATGGCTTTTCAACTACCCTCTCCCCCTCACTTTGAAATATACTCTCCTGGGCAGGGGGCATCTCCCTACTGCTTCAGTGAGCAGGAAAGAGTGACCCTTCTTGATGTACTGCACAGTGACTGAGAATACAGGCAGAAATGCAGAGAAGCCTCCTGCACCACCACGTTAGTCCAGCAGCGTTCCAGAAGTCCAAGGTGAAACCGTAACCCGCTCCTCCTCTTCCTGGAGCTTAACTTGGCAAGTGCCTCCTGATCAGACCTCTATTCATTTGGAGTCCTCCCTGTGGGCTCTAAATGAACCCCTGTTCAATCAGCAATGCCTAGATTTATGTACACAGAGGGGCTGCGGCCTGCTCTGCAAAAGCATCCTTAAGTTGGAGTTTCTGTCATATTTTTCTTCGGAGGTTGCCTTTTAAGAAGACCATCAAGAAATTAAAGACACCCAAACTAGTTTTGGCATAAAGGGGAATGTATTGGTGGACATGAGGACAGGAAATGCAGACAGTCCTCATGTGGAATTAGAACAAGGAAACGGAAAGCTGTTAGTGCAAGGCTGCCTCTCTTTCTCTCTCTCTCTCCACAGTCTGATTTATTCATTCCATAAAGACTTGAATGCCTACTATGTGTCAGGCACCTTGCTAGGTAGGTGGGGCAAGAGTACCTAAAGAGGTAAACGAAACAGACAAGGTCCACTTCATCTCTCCCTGTAGACCATCTTCATCTGATCCATTTACGATGGCTTTGCATGACCTCTCGACTCAAGCATTTAACAGAAACTAACTCAGTTGCAGCGTCCTTAGTTTAAGGATAAAATCTTAGCACAATGTATGGCTTGTTCCTTCCAGCGTTTAATCAGGTGTACAACAAAGGGGCTGGTAGCAGGGAGGTTTGCATGGACAATCTCAATAGTCAGGGAAAAATAAATTATGTAAAAATGGGATGTTGGGAAGGAGAAACTGACTGGTGAAAGAAACGATGATCATCTCTACTGCGAAGACTTTCAAAGATAAAGGGATGATGAAGGTTTCCATAAACTTGAGGAAAGAAGGGGAAAGAGCCCTAGGAAGGCCAGGCACTCATGCTGAGGTAGGAAAGGCTTTGATGGCTCATCCAGAGGCACCAGTTTGAGTGTGAGGGGAGACTCTGAGTAAGGCACTGCTCGTTCACACAGCCTCTCACCCAGGGCCTTAGGGAAGCCTGGGTGAAATCCCTTGGGAGGGTAGAAGGGAGCGGAGAGAAGAGGGGAATTACAAATCTTAAAAACAAGGCCTTCCCTGGAGTGCCTGAAAAACTCATAGTTGCTTAAAAGCTCAAATTATTTAAGGTTGCTGAAACATTTGTGAACCCTGGAGGCAATCAATCTCCAATTATGAGAGCAGCAGATGGAGAGCAGCGATACTACAGTAGTGGCTCATGAAGACTGGAAGGCATCCAGGAAAAAGGGGGCAGGGAGGCTAAAAGTTGAGATGTGCGATAACAAAACTCTGTATGATTGCCCCCTTAAGTTTTATAGACACGACTACTGTGGTCCGGAGAAAGAGTATTTACAATCATCAGTGTAAATGTGAACTCTACTCACGAGTCTGGACTTTGAACTTGAATGTCCTAAATATGCCTCAAGTCCCTCATTTCTAATACCATCACAAAATGTTTCAGCTTAACTCCTGCCCTTCAAGGGAATCTTCAGAGGATACAATATTTCATTTGCTTAAACTATACATTTCTAAGGAAGTGTTTAAGTCTGACCGAATTTATTCATATGATCTACTTTGATTTGTAGTTCAATTTACAATTTTGGGGAAAAAGTCATGGCTGGTAAATGTGAATAGTGTCTAAAGTTTTCAAAGAAATTTGGTCCATGCCAAAAGGCTGCATATATAAAGAGCTGTGATTACTGTAATGTTGATTTAGGGAGATAGGTGCATTACCTTAGGTAATTTGAACTTCATCAGTGATTACTTTGTATAGTGAGTCCTAGATTCATTTTCCATGAAGTAATGTGCTTAGGTATTTTATTACAAAGCCAAGTAGTCTACAATGTCTTAGCTTTTGTTATGCTTCTGATTTTTCCTCCTTATCAGGTCTGAAATTTGAAACTATTCCCTCAAGGGATTCACTCTATTTGCCTTTTTTTTTTTTTTTTTTGGTTACTCAGTGTCTCTCCTTCTTCTCATTAATTAATTAATTTGCTTCAACAAATATTTATTGAACCCCTCTGATGTTCCAGGGTAACCAAAATTCTTACTTTCACAGAATAGTTTTGGGACAGACAATCTACCACGAGCTCTGGGCATCTCTGCAAGTTCTTGCAGTGTATGTCAAGAATGAGAGATCAGGCCTGGTGCAGTAGCTAACACCTATAATTCCAACATTTTGGGAGGCTGAGGCAGGATGATCATTTGAAGTCATGAGTTTGAAACCAGCCTGGGCACACAGTGAGACTCTCATTGCTATAAAATAAAAATAAAAATATTAGCCTGTAGTAGTGGTGCATACCTGTAGTCTTAGCTCCTCAGGATGCTGAGAGGGAGGATTTCTTGGGTCCAAGAGTTTGAAGTTGCAATGAATTATGATTGTGCCACTGCACTCCATCCAGGGCAATAGAGTTAGACCCTGTTTGAAAACAACAACAACAACAACAAAAAAAAACAAAAACCCACCAGGCCAACCTCTCCTTACCTGGGACTTTATTAGAATTTGCAGCATCTTTGAGGAATGAGGTCATGTCTCTCACTGGGACAAAGAGCAGGCTTTTCGTAAAAGCAGTGGCTCCCTAAGCCCAGCGTTCCTTGGCTGCAATAGAGACAAACCCACTGACTGCATGCACGGCATCCATTGGCCCACTCACTACTACTCCAGTGGGACTTGGAGGACATGAGGAGCAGATGTCAGCATGATGTTCATGCTGCTTGATATACTATGGGTACTAAAACCCTTTGTCTCTGACCCAGGAGTTTCATGTCTTCTGCCAACATCCATGAAATAACAGGCTATATAAGGAGAGTAAAAACTTGTTAGGAGAGTAAAAGCAAATTACAGACCTTGACAAACTTAATATTTTCCAAGAATTGCATCACTCCTAGATGAGCCTCTCACAGAGTAAAATTTTATGTAATTTCCTAAATATTCATCTTCACTGAAATAGGATAAAGGAAAAAATGGCAACTTTATTTGACATACATTTATTTTTTGTGTGTTCTATGTTGTCCAAAATGTATATCCTGTGTATTACCAATTCCATGCTCTTCAAAAAAACCAAATTCTTAAAGATTAAGATTTGTGGCAATTTTCTTCCAATAATGCAAATTAACCAAAATTTTCTGGATACCTGCTATGTACCAGGATCTGTAAGGTGATATGAGGATGAATTAGACAGTTCTAGAACTTTAGGGCTCAGCGTTTACTAGAGATGACAGACACAAACATGTCTGAAATAAAAGACTGAATCTGCTCAGATACAGTTAGATTCCAAGCAAAGAATGGGCAAAGAATGATTGTGATTTGTAGTTTGATTTACCACTTTGAGGGAAAAAAATAATGTTTTTTTTTTTTTTTCAGGGAAAGGAGGTTCAATTAAGTTACGCTTTGTTTAGAAGACTGACTAGGACATTGAAAGATGTGTAGGACTCCAGCCAGTGGAAGTGAAAGGGGATAGGGTCTGAGGAGCAGGGGTGGATGGCGGTGTGAAGAGATGCACATCAGGCAGATGTGGTGAGATGTGGGCCACAGCAAGAGCAAAGACATAGAGGGACCTTGCAGAGAGTGACTGGGGTCAGCAAGAAGTCCAGGTTCTCAGGGGTGGCTGTGGCTGGGTTGATGACTGACACAGACTTTAATCAAGTTTAGGTGCTCAGGGAGCCGTGGGGCATCTTAACAACACTTGAAGTTGACAAAGTACTTTATTGCTGTACAGCAACTACTCAAATACTCTTTAGTAATGTTATTTCCATGTATTTGTTAATTTTACCTTATCTATTTTATTTATTTTTAAAGAAAAAAATGGCATAAGTGGGTATTAAGAATTTAAGTTGTTCTTCAGTCCTATTTCAATTTCACTTAATTTCCCCTTTTTGATTTGAGGCCAAACTCATTGATCGGGGGCCCTGTAGTAGATTGATTTCTATTTTTTTGTTTTTCTCCACTGTAACAAATGAATTAATTATGCAGCTTTGTTTAATATCTGTCTTCCTCACTATAATTTAAACTCCAAGAGGGTAGGAAATGAGTTTGTTTTGTTCCCTTCTATAACCTCAGTACCTTGAATTACTCCTAGCACATAGTAGTTGCTCAAAAAATTGCTGTTGTTGTTAAATGTTTATAAAAGCAGACAGATGCAAGCTAAATTCGGGTAACCTACCTTGTTGATTAAGCCTATGCATTGCTTACTGTTGATGAGTTGCAAATATCCCTTTTTATTTCAGGGATATCTGTAGTGTTCAAAGAGGGTAAGATGCCTTTTGTTATCTCTAAAGTATTAAATTCTCTGCCTACACTCTTGAAGTGACAAGAACAACATGCTTAATTTTAACTGATACTCTTGTCTCTTTGAAATAATGTAAAATTTTTAGAATATCTCTTAATGTTGATTCTCATCAGTTTTACCAGAAATTTTCACAAAATTTGCTTTATAAGTACATTATCAGATTATCTGAAAATTCTGTGACAATGTTTATGTCAAAGCTTCTGGCCCATAAAATAAGCCAATTTGGGTGTTAATGAGGATACCAGCACCAACAAATGTTTGCCGTCATTCACATCAACCCCATCTTGGCGGTTTTCTGCAATTTCTGACAGTAAGTTGGTTCTTCTTGCTAGTGCCTCACTGCCGCCCTCTACTGGTGGCACTTATCAGTACAGGTATAAGCAATTTCACTTTTAACTAGTATGTTTATACTTGTTAATGAAAACAAATGTGACACTCTACAGAACAGAACAGGTCTAAATAAATTAGAAGACTTAGTAATGGCCTGGAAAAATGGAAAATTTTGTGGAACATTAAAATAGCAGTGCAGATTATTCAACTGACAAATACTCATATTTGAATTTCATTTCAGTAAAGATCCATTAATCTTTCTGAATTTGTCTTACGAGAAAACTCACTAATCCACTGTCCCAAAATCTATGATGTTTCGATATAGCAGTGATTAAAATTATAGTTATATGCAAATACATGGAAATTAAATAACCTGCTCCTGAATGATTGTTGGGTCAACAATAAAATCAAGGTGGAAATTTAAAAATTATTTGAACAGAATGATAACAGTGACATAACCTACAAAATCTCTGGGATACAGCAAAGGCAGTGCTAAGAGGAAAGTTCATAGCATTAAATGCCTACATTAAAACGTCTAAAAGAACACAAATAGACAATCTAAGGTCATACTTCAAGGAGCTAGAGAAACAAGAACAAACCAAATGCAAACCCAGCAGAAGAAAAGAAATAACCAAGATCAGAGCAGAACTAAATAAAATTGAAACAAAAAATACAAAAGGTAAATGAAATGAAAAGCTAGTTCTTTGAAAAGTTAAATAAAATTGATAGACCATTAGTGAGATTCACCAAGAAAAGAAAAGAGAAGATTCAAGTAAGTTCAATTAGAAAAGAAAGGGTGATATTGGCCAGGCGTGGTGGCTCACACCTGTAATCCCAGCACTTTGGGAGGCCAAGGCGGGTGGATCACAAGGTCAGGAGATGGAGACCATCCTGGCTAGCACAGTGAAACTCCGTCTGCTAAAAATACAAAAAAATTAGCCAGGCCTGGTGGCGGGCGCCTGTAGTCCCAGCTACTTGGGAGGCTGAGGCAGGAGAATGGCGTGAACCCGGGAGGCAGAGCTTGCCGTGAGCTGAGATCGCACCACTGCACTCCAGCCTGGGTGAAAGCAAGACTCTGCCTCAAAAAAAAAAAAAAAAAAAAGAAAGAAAGAAAAAAAAAGAAATGAGTGATATTACAACCAGTATCACAGAAATACAAAAGATCATTCAAGGCTACTGAACACCTTTACACACATGAACTAGAAAATCTAGAGGAAATTAATAACTTTCTGGAAACATACAACCCTCCTAGATTAAACCAGGAAGAAATAGAAACTCTGAATAGACCAATAACAGTAAGTGAGATTGAAATGGTAACTAAAAAGTTAGCAACAAAAAAGTTCAGGACCAGATGAATTCACGGCTGAATTATACCAGACATTTAAAGACGACTGGTACCAATCCTATTGAAACTGTTCCAAAAGATAAAGAGAGAATTCTTCCTAAATCATTCTATGAAGTCAGTATCGCCCTAATATCAAAACCAGGAAAGGACATAACAAAAAAAGAAAACTACAAGCCAATATTCCTGATGAACACAGATGCAAAAATCCTGAACAAAATACTAGCTAACAGAATCCAACAGCATATAAAAAAGATAATTGACCATGATCAGGTGGGTTTCATACTGGGATGCAGGGATGGTTTAACATCTGCGAGGCAATAAATGTGATACACCACATAAACAGAATTAAAAATAAAAATCACATGATCACCTCGATAGATGCAGAAAAAGCATTTGACAAAATCCAGCATCTCTTTATAATTAAAACTCTCAACAAAATTGGCATAGAAGGGGCATACCATAAGGTAATAAACGCCATTTGTGACAAACCCATAGTCAACATTATACCCAATGGGGAAAAGATGAAAGCATTCCCCTTGAGAAATGGAACAAGACAAGGATGCCCACTTTCACAGCTTCTATTCAACATAGCACTGAAGTCCTAGCCAGAGCAATTGGATAAGAGAAAGAAATAAAGGGCATCCAAATTGGTAATGAGGAAGTCAAACTGTCACTGTTAGCTGATGACATGATTGTATACCTAGAAAACCCTAAGGACTCATCCAAAAAGCTCCTAGAACTGTAAAGTAAAGTTTCAGGATACAAAATTAATATACACAAATCAGTAGTAAAGTTTTAATTAAGTAAAGTTTCAGGATACAAAATTAATGCACACAAATCAGTAGCTCTGCTACACACTAACAGTGACCAAGCTGAGATTCAAATCAAGAACTCAACCCCTTTTAAAATAGCTGCAAAAAAAATAAAATACTTAGGAATATACTTAACCAAGGAGGTGAGAAACCTCTACAAGGAAAACTACAAAACACTGCTGAAAGAAATGATAGATGACACAAACAAATGGAAACACATCCCATGCTCATGGATGGATAGAATCAGTATTGTGAAAATAAGCATACTGCCAAAAGCAATCTACAAATTCAATGCAATTCCCATCAAAGTACCACCATCATTTTTCACAGAATTAGAAAAAAATAATTCTAAAGTTCATATGGAACCAGAAAAGAGCCAGCACAGCCAAAGCAAGACTAAGCAAAAAGAACAAATCTGGAGACATCACACTTCCTGATTTCAAACTATACTATAAGGCCATAGTCACAAAACAGCATGGTATTGGTATAAAAATAGTCATGTAGTCATTTTAGCATGACTAAATATATAAGAGAAATACTGATAATGCAAAAGAGCCTTATCTATTAAATGCACCATGGGTCCATAACTTGCAAACAATGCTGGTTCTGAACATGTACATGACTCCAAAGTCTTTGGTCATGTTCTCTTGTCTCCTTCCTTACTCTCAGCACACCCTACAGGCAACAAAGCTGCCAACCTCACCTCATAAATATGGTCTTTGCTTCTCAGTCTGTCTTCTTGCTGCCTCTTTCAGACTTTCTCCCTCTTTAGTTTGAACCACTAGCCTCCAGGCTGGTCTTCCTGCCACTTGTCTCTTTCCCAGTTCCCATTCTTTATGCTTCATGTGCTGCCCAGATAGGTTCTTAGAAAGCAGAACTGACTGTGTTACTTTCCTACTTAGAAACTCCTGGTACATTGTTGCCTATAGGATGAAACCCAAACTCCTGAACTTGGCGTGGAGGGTCCAAGCTGCCATATTCAGTACTACCTGCCATCAGTGTAGCTTCTGCCACTGTGAACTTGCCCTTAGTACCCTAGAATAGTGACCCCAGGACTCTGTTTTCAACTCTATGGCAGATTCTGACATCATGCTTTGTCATAATTCAGTTACTTAACTGTCTCCCAGTAGACTGTGACTCCTGTGGATGACCACAGTGTCTCACTCATTTTTTTCATCTCAGCGTCTCATGCTGTGACTAGCACACCATAGAAGTTGTTAATGGACGCATAAATGAATGAATGAATGAAAGTTCCTCTCCCCATTTTTATCTAATAAACTCATCAGTTTTCAAGTCTTAGGTTATAAAGGTGCTTCTCTAAAGACTTTCTTGACTCTAATACGGCAGAATTAATTGCTGTCATGGTAGTTGCATATACTCCAGTCTTCCATGTTAGGTCATAAGCGACAAAAGCAACCTGGAGGAGTGAAAAGGATATGAGCTTTGGAGGTAAATGACCCTGGGCTAATCACTTAGCCTTGACACTCACTGTCTGTGTCAACTTCAATAAGTAGCTCAGCTTTTCTGAAATGAATATTCGTTTCCTCATCTTTAAACGGAGTTAACGCCACTTCCTCATAGGACTGAGGCAAAGATTAAATAAGCAAGTAAAAGTTCATGACACATGAAAATTTCATTAAATTTCAGCATTTATTTCCTCCCCCTGGGGTGAAGACCCTATTTAATTTATACCTAGGTTCCCAGAACTTCAGAAACTATGGAAATTCAGTAAATGTTTGGTAAGTAAATAAATGATTCCCAGAGTTGTAGTTAGTCAAAAGTAGTGTAAGTATATACTTTAAAAAGGTCTTTTAAACTAATACAATTGTTTATTAATTCCTTTCTACTCCCTTAGTATAAATATCACTTCCTAATGCTCTGAAATGTCTTGAATCAAATTCTTCTCATTTTAATGATTATAGTATCTAAAGTATACACACGTCTTGTGGTTTGAGGCATATTTTCAGACCTTTCAATTACACTCCGATTTGTACATTTCCTTTATGTCACTGTAAAGTATGTTTGTGAAGTGTTTGAATAATAAGTAACAATAATTTTAAGTAAGACAAAGCAAAATATAAAATTGTTCATACAGTGTAATAGCAGCTCTGTAAAAAATCATCAAAAACCATGGACATTTTCTTCCAGAAGTAGAAAAATCCATCCTAACATTTATATAGAATCTCAAGGAACTTTGAATAGCTAAAACAATTTTGAAAAAAGGAAAAATTGAAAGACTCACACTTCCTGATTTCAAAACTTACAGTGAAGCTATAGTAATCCAAACAGTAGTATAGACCATCGATGTATAAGAAGCCCAGAAATAAATCATCATATATAGGGTCACATGATTTCCAACAGGAGTGCCAAGACCATCCAATGAGGAAAGAATAGTTTTTTTTCAACAAATGGTATTGGGAAAACTATATCCACATACAGAAGAATGAAGTGGGGCCTTTACTTTACAACACCACCTACAAAAATTAACTCAAAATGGATCAAAGACCCAAATGTAAGAGTTAAAACTAGAAAACTCTGAGAAGAACACATAGGAGGAAGGCTTCATGAAATAGGGTTTGGTAGTGATTTTTTTTATATGACATGGAAAGCACAGGCAACAAAAGAAAAAATAGATAAATTAGACTACGTCAAAATTGAAAACTTTGGGCGTCAAAGGCACAATCAGCAGAGTGAAAAGGAAACCTAGAAATGAGAACAAATATTTGCAAATCATGTAGCTGAAAATGTTAATATCCAGACTATATAAAGAACAACTGTAACTCAACAACAAAAAAACAACCCAATTAAAAAATGGGCAGAGCATTAGCATTTGAAAGAACAATTTTGGAAACTTAAAGCTCAGTTAATTTGGATCTGTTATTTGATTCATCCATTAAAGTTTTTTTTTGTTGTTTAAAGTGCTTATCAGCATAATGATAAATATCACGCACATTTGTGAAGAAACATCCTTTTTGGTCCCTTTTGGGAATGGCAGGCACTCCTTGATCTTTATGAACGACAGGTTACTGTTTTGCCTTACTTTATGTAGTAGAATAAAGCAGACAAAGCTTGAAAAAAATGGGCAAAGTTTGAATAGACATTTCTCCAAAGAAGATACACAAATGGCAATAAGTACAGAAAAAGTCTCCAACATCACTAATCATTACAGAAATGCAGATCAAAAGCACAATAAGATACTACCTCACACCCATTAAGATGGCTACCATGAAAAAAAAGCAGAAAATAACATGTTGGAAAGGTTGTGGAGAAATCAGAACTCTTGTGCACTATTGACAGGATGTCACTGTATGGCAGTTCCTCAGAATGTTAAAAATAGAATTACCATATGATCTAGGCATTTCACTCCAAATACACCTAAAAGAATTGAAAGCAGGAACTCAAGGAGATATTTGTATACGCATGTCCATTACATGATCAGCAATAGCCAAAATATGGAAGCAGTCCACTGAATGAATGAATGGAGAAACCAAATTGGTATGTACATGCAATAAAATATTATTCCACCTTAAAAAGGAAGGCAATTCTGACATATGGATGAACATTGAGGGCATTATGCTGAGTGAAGGAAGCCAGGCACAAGAGGACAAATACAGCATGATATCACTTATATGAAGTACCTAGAGTAGTCACATTGATAGATACAAAAAGGAGAATGGTGTTTGCCAGGGGCTGGGGAAGACAGAAATGGGAGTGACTGTTTACTGGGTGCAGAGTTTCAAATTTGTGAGATAAAAAAGAGTTCTGTGGATGGAGGGTAGTTATTGCAGTGCAACAATATGAATGTACTTAATACCATTGAAATGTGCACTTAAAATTGTTAAGATGGTACATTTTACATTATGTGTATTTTACCACAATTTTAAAAAATTATTGAAGAATAATCAGAAGGAAATACAATAAAATGTGGAATGTTTGTCTCTAAGTGGTACTTTTCTACTATTTTCCTCTTCTTTTCCTATTTTCTACAATGACTATGTATTGCTATGTAGTTAGGAAAAAATAACTTAATTCAAAAGTTTCATAGAAAACTTACCCAAAGTTTGAGTTCATTGGATTTCAATCCATTCCTGATTTAGAAGAACTTCCTAGTTAAGAAAAAGACATAAAAACAGAGGACTTTGTTATAATTAGAGAATAAACAGAAGAAGGAATAATCTCTACTCTATTTCCTGCTTTATGTCATGAGCATTGTTGCATGTTTGCTATTTGAAACATCGGATAAGGGAACAGGAAGATCAAGTTCCTGAGTTGCAAATGAGTGCGGAGAAGTTACAATTGTATCATCACTGTCCATCACTTTAGATATAAAAGGAAAAAGAATGTCACATCAAGGGAGACAAGATCCTGCCCAGAGTGCTTGACTGGGGACAAACCTCTTTTGGTTTCCTGCCTCCCTTAAATAGGGGAAAGGGCTTCAAATTTCTCCTTAAACTTTTGAAGAAGTTCAACCGTAAACAAGAGAAAACTCACCATCAGAGGATCAAACTATCAGTGGTGGTCATATCTGATAATTTCATTATGTGTGAAATAAAAGGAGTTTGCTGAAAAACCTTTGGGGTTGATACCTTATCTCCTGGAGTTCTGAAACTTTCATCCACTGACTTTAAAAAAGTTTATTTACTACTTTTGGGGCCTGCCAGAAAAATGGGAATCCCCCAGTTATTTATACAAAAATGTTGCTAACGAAGTTCGCAATAATAATTACTACTTTATTGTATATTAAAATGACAACGTGGCCGGGCACATTGTCTTGCACCTGTAATCCCAGCACTTCAGGAGGCTGAGGCAGGCAGATCACGTGAGGTCAAGAGTTCAAGACCAGTCTGGCCAAAACATGGTGAAACCTCATCTCTACTAAAAATACAAAATTAGCCAGCTGTGGTGGGGTGTGCCTGTAATCTCAGCTACTCAGGAGGCTGAGGCAGGAGAATCGTTTGAATCCAGGAAGCAGAAGTTGCAGTGAGCCAAGATCAGGTCACTGCACTCTAGCCTGGGCAACAGAGCAAGGCGGTCTCAAAAAAAAAAAAAAAAGGCAATGGATTACTCTTCCCAGTAATTTATATTTTTCACCTCTCCTATAACCCTCTCAAAGGCCAGCTTATTCTCCTACAGCCCCTAAACCACCATCCTAGATAGAGGTCTCCTGTTCTTAACTGCCACTTACGAACCTTGCTTTCACACACTCCTCTCCCCAACTTTGGAATTCATGTCACCAGATTCTATTCTCCCACTGCCCTTCATTGTTGCTATCAGCTGCCAGTTCTCAGGGCATTTTGGCTCCTGGATCACTTGGTCTCCACAAACCACTCTTATTCTTGGATATTTCAATAATCATGTGATGATCCAGGACTCTCCGTTCCTTGAAATCGTTTCTTCCAAAGTTGTTCTTGACACAACCTCAGTCATTCACTTCCATGGTCATACAGCCTACACTTTGTTATCATCAATCACAGCAACTCTTCCAGATTTTCGAATTCATGAATCTCTCTCTCTATTCACTAGTACCCATCTTGTCCTCTTTTAGTCTCCAAAATCCAACAATCCTAAAATCCCACTGGGACCTCGAATCTATGGATCCTATTCCTGAACTCTTACTGTTCTTTTATGATCTGTTTACCTTTTGCTCACTTAGGTGACGATTTCATTCTGTCTCTTCCTCCTCCACCCTCATCCTTATCAGACAAGGACTTCCACAGGCTACCACTCCATACTCTGTCAACTGCACCCCATACTCTGTCAACCCTTTGGCTACCAGAGAGGGACCACCCATGCTCTTATCTAAAACCAAGAACTTCATTTGGGCACTAAGTCCACCTGTGTTTCTATTCAAGGGCAGCAGAATTTCTCTCTTCTTCCTCTCTCAATCTTTTACATCGTCAAGGTTTTGCTGTCCTTTGGCTCATTCCTATCTGTTTACAAGCATGCCATTATTTCTTTCATCTTAGAAGAAAAATCTCTTCATCTCACTTTCATCAGTAGTTATTGTCTTTTTTAGCAAAATTCCTTGAAAGAATTGTCTCTACTTGAGCTTCCAACCTCTCCCTTCCCATTCTCTTTTAAACGCATTCTAATTAGACTTTTATCCCATTATGCCACGGAAACTAATTTTGTCAAAGTCACTGATCAACTCCATGTTGCTAAATCCAGCCCTCAATTATTATTATTATTACTTTTTTTGAGATGGAGTCACCGTCTGTCACCCAGACTGGAGAACAATGGGGCAATCTTGACTCACTACAACCTCCCTCCCAGGTTCAAGTGATTCTTGTGCCTCAGCCTCCCGAGTAGCTGGGATTACAGGCATTTGCTGCCACACCTGACTAATTTTTGTATTTTTAGTAGAGATGGGTTTTCACCATGTTGGCCAGTCTGGTCTCGAACTCCTGACATCAAGTGATTTGCCTGCCCGGGGTGTTGGGATTACAGGCGTGAGCCACCATGCCTGGCCTCTAGCAGTCAATTCTTACTCCTTATTTTAGTTGACCTGCCAAAAATGTGTGACATAGAACCTCCCTCCTCTGCTGTGTTCCAGGAAACCATACTCTCTTGGTTTTCCTCCTGTATTACTGATCACTCCTTAGTCTTTTTGGCTGGTTCCTGCTCTTCTTCTAGATCCCTTGATGTTGGAAATATGCAAAGGCTCAGTCTCAAACTATCTTCCTTTCTCCATCTAAACCTATTCCTTGCTGATTTCATTCAGTTCATGGTTGTAAATACTACATATGTATTAGTAATCATCAAATTCCTATCTCCAGCCCAAACTTCACCTTAAACTTCAGATGCATATTTTCAAATGTTAACTTGGTATCTGCACTTGAGTTCACATTGAACCCCTGGTTGGCCTCTGTTAATGACTGAACCTTGTCAGCAGAGTGAAATGAAAGGCCAACTGTTGATGAGCTGGGCATTCAAAAGAGGCTGAATAGGAGCAGGTGGGGTGACCGGAAGGGCCATGCCTTGTGGAAGGAACTTGGCTGGAAGGAACTGCTTGGCTTCCTCTTGTTCACTTTCAATTTGTGCATGGGCAGCTGTAGTCTTAACAAGGTTTTCTCCTGACAACTATGACTTGGGGGGATAACTGTGTTGAGACACTGTGGGACTTCTGAAACCTGTTTGCTGCATAATAACTAAGGCTTTTCTGTTCTTTCACTGTGACTTCCTTTTTCACACACAATAACTACTGGCTTGCAAATGAGAGGTATTACCAGCCTACTCAATGTTTCCAGATTTCTGACAAGGGCTAGATAAAGAAGTATTTAAATCATTAAAATCTTAAAGAGTCTCTGTGCTGTAGTTGTCTTTAATATATTTTTAAGAATCTAGGCCACGTGCAGTGGCTCACACCTGTAATCCCAGCACTTTGGGAGGCCGAGGTGGGCGGATCATGAGGTCAGGAGATCGAGACCATCCTGGCTAACACGGTGAAACCCCGTCTCTACCAAAAATACGAAAAAATTAGCCAGGCGTGGTGCTGGGAGCCTGTAGTCCCAGTGACATGTGAGGCTGAGGCAGGAGAATGGCGTGAATCCGGGAGGCGGAGCTTACAGTGAGCCAAGATCACGCCACTGCACTCCAGCCTGGGCTACAGAGCAAGACTCCATCTCAAAAAAAAAAAAAAAAAAAAAAAAAAAAAATCTAGATTTTTAAAACATAGTATCATTAGAAAGCAAAACAGTGTTACTGTAAAAAAATCTGGAGAAAAATAACATATAAAAGAACATAAGAATTATCTATGATCCCACTAAGAAATAAGCACTATGAATATTTTATTAGTTTTTCTTTGTATAGCTATAGTATTTATAATGAAATTTTTAAAAGTATAAGTTTTCAAAATTTAACTAAGTATTCTTTATCTGACTACAATTGACCAGTCTTTGTGCCTCTAGATTGAGATGCCCAGGTGTACTCAGAAATGATTTCGCAAAACACTGTGTCCCCCTGTGTGTGTTTTGGTGTGTATGCTTCCTCTCACTCATGTTACAGTTAACGTGGTAATGTTTCCACATGTGCTATCTTCTGTTTTTCTTTCAGCCTTGCTTTAAAGCTGGACATCCTCACCACTCTGCCTGTCCCGACCTACTTAACACAAATGACTAACCCCGATAGCCAAGCATCATCGGTGAGTGCCAACCTTTATCAAAACCCTTTCCTAGAAAAGATCTCTGATATCTTGGTATTGGGCAGGCATGGCGCAGTTGATAGCTGGAAGGAGGGAGTGGGGTAAGGCTAGAACCTCCCCTGGAGCTGGCTGTGAAAGTCAGGAAGGCACCTTGAAGGACAGACAGGGCTTCAGGTTCTTGGGAGAGTGTGCTCTGGCAAGTGTGTCATCTCAGGCAAAGCAGATCTAAACAGACAATTGGCAGTTCTGGTAACCAGCAGGGTTAGAATGGATTAAGCATGCAGCCTGAGGTAGAGAGATGGAGTCATGCTAACAGCCTAGCATAGCAAGGAGGTGGAAATAGTAATCATTACCATTTATTGAGTAAATACTGCTACCAATAATGGTCAACTCATAAAACTATAGTGAGTATTAAGATAATGTATATAAGCATTGTAACAGAAAGGCTGACACACGGAACATGCTTAACAAATACTTATTGAAGAATAATGCATGCCACTTATTGTTATTAACTATCATTATTCAGCACTGGTGAACAGATGAGAGTGTCATTTAGGGTGGGGGAAGCAGACTGCTTCCTAACATCTTTAAACACTGCCTGCTCATGGATTTCCTCCACCCCATGATCTATCCAGTTCATGGTGGATCCCAACCACACCGTAAATCTCCTGCTTCCAAATGAGTGCTTTTCCCCATTTATTGCACACTAGGTAACCTGGGTTCTAATCCCGACTCCATCACAAACCAGCTATGTGTGAACTTGTGAAGTCAACTTTCCCTGCTAGACCTCAGTTTCCTCCTTTCTAAAGTTGGGGATTTTTGCTAAAGTCTTTAGAGTCCCTTTCGATTCTGTGATTCTCTAGTGCTACTTCTACCCTCCCAAAGTTCAGCAGCAAGTGACCAGGCATCAGTGCCAGCCTGGTCTGCTACAGCCGGATATACGTAGACTCAATTTGTTTCTATCAA